AGGTAGAAAACCACTGCTGCCCCATAACTGGGGGTGAACAGAGGCTCTGACCCGGTAAGCCATTCATCTCAGAGGTGCCAGGAACTTGACCTTCCCGGGAGCTCCTGTACGATTCCCAGTCCTTGGTACCGCTGAAAGTGCTGCGCAGCGTTCAAGTACCCAGTTTCAAAGTTTCGGGCAAAATCTCTAAAAGCGTTTGGCGCCAGCAGCCTCTGCTGGGAGATTTGTGGCTTAGATGCCAGCACCCAAAGTTCTGGGCTCCGAAAATCTGGCCACGTATTTTGATAGCTCAACTCCACATCCAGCCCTGATGGACCTGTCCTAAGCCAAGTGGCAAGTCTGCGGCGCAGCCATGAGCATCCCCAGGTTGCCCAGTTGCTACCTCAACCCACTACCTTCTCCTGGTGATGCACAGTAGGAAAGAGAAGCTCCTCTTACGTTTCTCTGCTGATGAGCCCTGGCTTACTGCAGGGCTTCTGCAAAGCTGGGCAGTGCCCGCAGGTCCCATGTCACCTAGTCCATTCCCTCGGTGCTGGAGATGCCACCGAGGTCAGTTTGAAAGCCCCGTGGGGTACGCATGCCAAATTGTGTTGGCTTAAGAAGTGACAGCAGCTTAGGATCAGTTAGTCATCTTGTGAAGGTGACAAATGCTATAAAACTCAAGGCAATCTGAATCAGCCAGAAAGAAATTCCCTGGATCCCTGCCAGTAAATGAGATGTACAGGGGGGCAGGCACCCTGCCCTTCTGTGCACTTCACCTGACACTTTCCCTAGGGAAAATTGCACCTAGCGAGAGAGACGTCATTTTATTCCTCCCATAGCAGGGAAACTACCACTGTGTTTGCATTTATTCTGGTATCAGATGTGTGCCCATCCTATAGCAAAAGGGAAGGAGAGAGGAAACGATTGCAGCTTCCATGAGTTAATGCAGCTAGCAGGACTCGGATCCTGACTGTATGTACTTTCATGTCAGTGTTAAATAAGGTGAGGTTACAGACTCAGCCCTGGCCTTGCAACTGAATCCACTGGGGTTGGGTTGTGCCCATGAATGCATGTCCACAAGGACAAACTTAACTATAGGATAAGGGTCCAAGCAGGAGGCTTGGATGAGTTGTCCATGCTTGAATGTGGTGAGATTGTGTAGTGAGGTCTCTTGAGACACGGGCACCTGTCCTTTGGAGCCAGTCACCCAAACCCACAGCCTCCTGCTTGGGGCTCTTGGTCCAAAGGACAGGAATGGAGCTGAACTGCCCTGTCCTCCCGAGGGCTCCCACAGCAAGCGGGGAAAGAGGTGGTAGCAAGGAGGCCTGATTCTGCCACTGCTGCCCTACCTCTGGCATCTCCAGGGTCATCAGTCTCTCCCTCTTTGCCCTGGCTCCATTTTCTTCAATCCTCTCAAAACATTTTCAAAAGAATTAAATGCGAGTGCCGAGGAGTCATTTCTAGAACGCTTGAACCCTCCCGGCTCCAGTTTAATGTATTAATCACGGTCTCCCAATTTTTTGTCACATATAAAATATAAAGAGCTTGTGATTTAGTAGGGTTCTGAAAGTATGTAGCAGGGTTTTAGGTTGTAGCCGTGTTGGTCTAAGGACATAGGCAGACAAGGTTCCTTGGGTGAATTTGATATCTTTTATTAGACCAACCCAAATGGTTGGAGAATAGTTATGTCTATGTATACATTTAAAAAAAACCCCATTTGAAATGCGTAGCTAATTGCAAGATGTACAGGCACCACTGTGTGTTTCTGCTCTTTTTGGTGGCCGCTAGACAAAGGACTGTGAGCAAAGGATTGGTGAATGGATTTTTACTGGTTGAACTGGACAGACTAGTTCTGCAACAGCTAACGTAAATTCTTCTGAAAAGTCCCTTGGCTTTGAGATTATAACAGGGCCGTGCAGGTGTGGCAAGCCCCGTCCTTGTTAGCATTTACTGGGCTGCTGGCTGAGTGGGTCTGAACACAGTTCATAACATTGGAGGCCTCCCATATATTTATATATATATCAGACTTACTCCTCGCAAGCAAGGCGAGGGCAGTGATAGGAATTGGACCAAAGCTGGGCTCTGCTGCAGAATCTGGCTCAAGTCACCGAATCTTTGTCCCATCCGTAAAAAGAGGGTGCCACTACTTCTTCTGACCTCTTGCCTATTCCGAGTATAAGCTCTTCAGGCATAGGGACTGTGTCCTGTTACACATAGAGGTAGTCACTTGCCTTAGTCTGGAGTCAGGCCGACGGCAGGGTAGATTTGTATCTTGTAGATTAACTAAATCTGGATGCATACACTTTTGTAAGTAGCAGCTTGCTTCATCAGATAGCATGTAGTCAGCTAGGCCAGATGCTTCATCAGACAGCATCCGATGAAGCAAGCTGCTGCTTATGAAAGCTTATGCATCTCTGATTTTGTTAGCGTGCAAGGTGGAAGTTTACCCTGCCTTTTGCATGTTACAGATATGACTCCCACAAAAGATTCCTGGTCCGGTCAGGGCCTGTATGTGTTAGAATAAAATAATTAAGAATATAGATCTCATTTTGGATTTTGGACACCCCTGTTTTTCCTTTCCAAATGCATTTGCGGTTTCGAAACCAGG